CCATCTTAGAATCTCTCTTTCATTCTGCCAAGGACTGGGGATAATGAACAGGTGGGAGGGGCCCACATGGATTGTCCAATCCAGTCTCATGAAAACACTAGGTAGTAGAAAACTATGGAAAAGAGCTCATACACTGCTTCAGTATAGTTCAGATGATACCTTTGATTAACAGGGCATACATACTGTATTTTCGCACCATAAGACGCACTTTCCCCCCACAAAATGGGGGGTGGAAAGTCTGTGCGTCTTATGGAGCGAAGAAAACAGATTATATTTTCCTGTTTTCTTCTCCTAAAAAAATGATGCGTCTTATGGAAAGGTGCATCTTATGGAGCGAAAAATACGGTAAATGTCAACATCAGGCTTTTATATGATGAGACCTGTTGAAAGTGTCCATTAATGCATGTCCATGCTATGCTAACCAGTGGGCTGTTTCCATGTTCCTTTGGTGCTACTCTGTGGGTGGAGCAGATGGCATGTTTTCTCCATCTAGATCAGAAGTGTAAAATTTAAGTTAAAAGGGAATTTTTTAAAAAGATAAGAAAATAAAAGAATGAGAAAGAAGACAAAATTGTCTGCTGTGTAGCTTTCCATTTTTCCATCTTTAACCTCACATTTACCTGTCATAAGAGATCCTATAAGGAAATATTTCTCTTAGAGATTTTTTAAAAAAGATGACATGCAAGATATGTACAGTGCAATCAATACAAGCAAGAGCTGATTGTAAGAATGCTTCAATTATTCAGAAGTCTCCTGATTTATGAATGTGGGATATTGTGTTTCTGCAGCCACGATCTTGGTGTAGCCACCAAGAAATGGTCCAATGTGTTGTATGATATTGTGCTCATGTTGCTTACATGAAAAAGGATGCCAACCTTTACCATAACAAAGGTCAGCCTGAATATTGACACCACCAATGGCACAGTCAAGATGACCTACAGGATGCCCTCTCCTGCTCATACCCATTCACAAAAACACACTATGCACGGGAAAAATCCCAGAATCTGCTGTTCCTTTTTTCATCAGTTGGCCAGTTCTCACCAAAACACAAAGCAATTGTCAGGGCTTTTCAAAGTGCAAATATGTCAAAGTTACAATTTTTTGTTTGGGATGCCTCGTATTTTGGGTTGCCTTATGGAATGTTGAATTGTGCTCTTACACAATATCTATTGGTGCACTCTTGCAGAGCAGTAGCACACCATCGTAAAGATATTTTATTATAAAGCCATGGTTTGATGGTGAGATTTTTACTGCTGTTCAGCAGATACAGTATATGAAACAGCATCAATGCAAAATGTGATTTAAATCAATTTTTTTTAATGGCCTGTTTCTTACTGGTCTAAATTGTTATCTCAATTGTTTTAATTTAAAATCATTCCACATTCTGAAACAACTATGTACAAAAAGCATGGTATCTTTGATATTATTTGAATATGGATTTTGCTATATACACAGCAGGTGCTTGGTGGAAAGTGCTAAAAAAAGAGATTCTGATAGATTCAGAAAGCCCATAGGATCCTGATGGGCTAAGACATCAAAGTTACAGTGGCTATATGAGAGACCTCTTTGGACCTCTCTCATAGAAAATTTCAGAAGATAAGTATTGGATACACATTTACCTCAATTGTCCTACCCCTCAAATCCTTCTCATATCCATCTAAAGTCTGGAATAACAACTCATTTTTAAAATTGGGTTTATTGGAACAACAGATGTACAACACATTTTCTAGAAAATGAAGGACCAGAATCCTCTCTTTCACTCTCCACCTCTTGTGAGATTTATTTTTTTTGTCTCCTTGATTGTGGAGAGTTCGTATTTTGTAAGAAATAAGGCACAAGACCCCTATGAGCAACACAACTTTATTTTTAGAGAGTAAAAACCTCACATCTGGTAGGTAGGTGGCACTGCTATGCTTTTTATTGCAGTTCTTTGCTCCTAAATCCCAGATCTGAAAGCTGCCCATTCTTAATCCTTTGTCCTGGAGCAAGAAACACAACCCAGCTGTCCATGGAAAAGCCACTGAGGGAATTTCAAGCAGAAGAAGAGAAAAACATTCCTCGTCTTTCCGCTTCTTCTCTGATCCACATTTATTTCTCCCCATCAGCTAGCTTCCTGTTTTAATCCATATTTATGCTATGGCTTTCTTAGAAGTTCTTACCTATAATATGTAGCTAACCCTTTAATTTTCTATTTTAAAAGAATACATTTATCAGAGCTAGGTAACACTGGTTTTCTTTATGGCTGGTCACTGTTCTTCCTACAACCGTGAAATGTACTGAGTTTCTATTTAAATACACTTTACTCCTTTTATTCCCTAATTTGATCTATACACACAGTATCAACATTTGCAAATTGCATACAAACATGTACCATCTCTTGTCCTGTCTTTTTGATGCCACAGCTCCTGAGGCTGCATGGTAATTTCGCCCAGTTTGTTTTCCAATGAGAAGTTGTGATGGCAAATATTACATTTTTTAAATCTCAGTTCCCAGAATCATGTAATCATAGAATAATTGAATTGGAAGGGGCCCATAAGACCATTCAATCCAACCCCCTACTCAATGGAAGAATCCAAATCAATGCAGATCTGACAGATGGTTTTCCAATTTCCCCTTGCATGTTCACTGTTCAGACTAAGAAAGGTGTACAGTTTAAAAGCAACTTTTCCACTCGCTGTAAGAACTTACCAAATTTGTCTGTGTGTGTTTGTGTGTGTGTGTGAAGCAGATTTGTCAGAGTGCTTTAAATGAGTAAAACCTAAGTTTAAACCCCTAGATATTCAACAATGTTTGTACTACCAAATGAAAGTTGCCAAAGTTGCCACCCTGTTTTTCTACTAGGTTCTTCATCTTTAAAAGCTGTTTTTACTACATTTAACCAGGGCAAATAAGTGAGAGTTTTATTCAGTACATTTTAACGAGAGCGTGTGAACAGCCACAGATTTTGGTATCAATGGGAGGGAAGGAGCTTGACATTTAAACATTTGAATGTTCTAGAAAATAAAACTGAAAAAATTGTTCACATCAGTATTTCCTCTCTTTCCATTTTAGCAACACATAAATAGTTGTTCTAGTCATCCAAAGACAAGATAACATATTTTTGTGAGAGAGTATGTGAAAACTCCTTCTCTATACAGTGGTGCCTCGCTAGACAGCTACCCCGCATGACAGTTTTTTTGGCTAGACATTGGCTTTTTGCGATCGTTATAGCGATTTGCAAAACAGTGATTCCTATGGGGGAATTTCGCTGGACAATGTTTGGTCCCTGCTTTGCAAACCGATTTTTGCTAGATGACGATTTGGACAGCTCCCTCCGCGCTCGCAAACAGATGTTTTCAGGACCTAAGCTTCGCAAGACAGCGATTTAAACAGCTGATTGGTGGTTCGCAAAGCGGCTTTCCTATGGTCGATCTTCGCTAGACAACGACGATTCTTCCCCATTGGAACACATTAAACAGGTTTCAATGCATTACAATGGAGAAATGCTTTTCGCTAGACAATGATTTCGCTAAACAGCGATTTCAGTGGAACAAATTATCATAGTCTAGCGAGGCACCACTGTTATGGCATATCCTGTCACAATCATAATAACTAGCACCATTTCCTGTTTTCTGGTTCTTTGTTCTGTGGAATGTCTCCATATTAGTTTTAATGTAACTCCTACTTGAGTTCATTTGATCTTCTGTTCATTTGATCTTCTGTAGACAAGGGGTCTATTGCCTCCAAGGCTTCTTAGCATTCCAATATATATTAGGGAAAATACAGGGACATACTGGAAATGGATACATAGTGGCAAACTCCTTCTAAGACAATAATTGAGCTTGTAGACTATAAAATGTACCTGCCCACCCCATCCAGGAACAGGGGCTCATATGGGCATGGTAAGGGCCCGTTTGATCTCTAATTCCTTTGAGACCTGCAGTGGAGCCATGTCCCCTGGACTGAAAATTTTGGAGTATATTTCCAAAAGCCTGAAGAATTACTGTGTCTATTTAGCAGGGAAAGAAAACTGCATTCTGCACATATTGAGAAGACTTTTATTAACAAATTATTTAATTTATAGCATGTAGAATCATTTTAGACTTGCAATTATTCGTACTCCTTCCAGACTTGTTCATCCCGTCTGTGGTGCTCGTTTCACAATGAGCTCAAAATATCCATGGAAAAAGTTAGCCTTTGAAAATAGCATTTGTATTGATAGCACCCAAGTTTGCACTTTTTTTTTACAAAAAAGCGTAGAGACCAAAAAAAATATCACAGTATTGCTCAAACTATTAGTAATTGAGGAGTAGCTCTCCTATAATTGAACATAGATGGACAATGGCCAGAATCTTATATGGTACAGCTAATTGACAAGGTGTCAGGGCACCACTGGATCGCAAAATTAGACACATGTTAAGACACATGACCTACTGTAGATATATCTCAGCACCTTGCCAATTGGCTGCAATTAGCAGAGGCAGGTTGTGTAAACATTACGTGAACACCAACAGGATTCTGGCCAATGCGATTTCAGATTTTTCAGCACTATCTTTCCTAGATGAATTCATGTTCTCTTGTTCAGTATTGCCTTTGAAGTGAAACACACTGAAAACCAATATTTTAGTCATTAGGAGCCAAACATTGTTTAATCATCAAAGCGGAACTGTATGAAATGTTCAAAGCTCATTATCAGATGCTTTGGAAATCACAAGCTATTCTGAAAATACAAGATGGCTCAGTGTTGAATACTGTACTGTCAGTAAATGAAATATTTTCAGGGCATAGGCCTAGCCTTTTCCTCTAACAGTGCAATAAGGCAGTATCCTCATCATGATGAGAGGAAGCAAAATTAATTGTCCTTCTTTTTCCCCACTTCCTCCAAATTCCCTCCTCCCACTGAAATTTTTCTGTTCAAAATTCTTGTCATTGGTAGCTTGCCCAATGTGTGGCATGGTATTAACCAATACCACCTATGGGAACTGAACTAGAAGAGAGAAGAAAATGAGTGTATAGTATATTAAAAATGAATCTTCAGGTACATTTTAGCATAAGCCTGGCAACAAAATGGAGCCCCAGATTGTCTTAGAGTTCTTATATGGGAGACATAGGATTCTACAGTCTCCGGTACGGGCAGCATTTCAGCCTTGGCTTTTCTTCTGATTTCTTCAATGAAACAAGTCCTGACCAATTGACAAGACATTGGATTGAAGATTTTGCTTTCTAAGTGCAGGTGCACAAACATCAAGGAACGTACAGCTATTTATCACCATACAGCTGCGCAGGTATGGGGACATGACACCTCAAAAATATTACAGTAATACCCTGGTCCTTGCATAGCAAGCTCTGTAAGCAAACCACCTTGAGGAGAGGAGATGGTGTGCCTTTCCGGAGAGTAGGAGTTCAGTGGTGTCCCTTTCAGATGTTCCACCTCTCGAGCCATCTTTGAGTCATTCCACTTCTCAGAAAGCAGGTCCTGGCTCAGAAGAAGGCACAATAAAAAGTTTTATGGGGTACAGAGAGCTGCCTTGTCTTCTGTGCATTTGGCAGGGGCTCCTCAAACACTGGGGTCCATGCTTCCCTCTTAGAAGGACCTTGGCCAACCAGACGCTCTGAAAGTAAGACATGATAGTGGGAGAGGAGGCATCATACGCTGCAGTCAGAATCCTAGTAGGAAAACACAAATAGAAGTTGTTCAGTTCTGCTATCAAAACATATTTTTAAATAATTTCCGCGTGCCCTCATGATTAGAATCTTTTTTAAACTTGAATGTAGACAAATCTGTCAGTTTTACATTTGATTCTTTTTTTTAAAGCAACAAAACAAAACTTAGTTTCTTTCCAGAAGCTTAACGCGGACAGTGAATAATTGAATCAATGGCCAAACTCTTATTACCTAGCTATGTACATAGTATAACTTCTCAAGGCAATTTGCCCCAAGTTAACAATCACTATAGACATCATCATCTGCATTCTAAGCTGTATGACTCTGTATGCAGTTGACAATTCTTACAGTTATTTTTAAATGTGGGACAATTCACCTCTGAAAATTATGCCACTTGTGCTATGCTGGCATATGTAGGGAAGAAAATTCAGGCCAATGTCACCAGCTATGCTGGCAGGGCAATTCTGGGAGTTTTAGTTCAACAAACACCTTTACAAAGCTCTATATTTGCCCTGGGATGACAGAAGAGACAAAAGGACATTCTAGTTTCTACTAGAAGGGGAAAAGGAAGGGGACGACAGAGGATGAGATGGTTGGACAGTGTCATCGAAGCCACCAACATTAATTTGACCAAACTCTGGGAGGCTGTGGAAGACAGGAGGGCCTGGCGTGCTCTGCTCTGTGGGGTCACAAAGAGTCGGACATGACTAAATGACTAAACAACAACAACAAGGTTCTACTACTACATGTGTGTTCTGTGCTGTCAAGTCAGAACCAATTTATAGCAACCCTAGTAGAGTTTTCAAGGTAAGAGAGATATTTAAGTAGTGGTTCCACTCCCCTAGTGAGTCTCCATGGCTTAGTGGGGATTCAAACTTTGTTCACCAGAGTTCTAGTCCATCACTCTAACCACTACACCACAATGGAAATCAGACAGAGGAAAAAGATTTCTGGGTAATTTAAAAAAATCCTGTGTGGTGAGGCAACTTGAAGATCAGTGATCAAAAGTAATGTGTGTGTATATTTGCTTTCTATACATATTGTGTATTTGTAGCTATAAGGATCTCTAAATAATACAGCTTGTGTTCTATAAATACTTATTTATATTTATTGATCTGTCTCTCTCCTTACCTACCTAGGGAAACAAAATTCAAGAACATTTCTGCAAGCTGTCCTGTCACAGAGAGGCTGCTGTTGAATAGATATCTTTATTTGTGAATTAGAGGTACATTTTTGCCCATGCTTTCATTATTTAAAATGATTAGATGAGTAGGCCTTAATTCTGGCCCCCATCTAGACCGAGCAGTCACTATGCCAGGATCAAGAAAGCACCCGGCTGCCTTGATCTCATGTGAAGTCAACAAAGTCAAAAGTACAGCAATCAAGGTAGAAGAGAAAGCAAACATAGTGACCCAATAGCTACTCCAGCAGTATTCTTAGTGATCACCTACAAGATACCAGTTCCTCCCTCCCTAATGCCCCACATTACCAGTTCAGGGAGCGCAGAGGTAAGCATAGTTTACTTCCCCCCCTCTTTTCCTCATTGATGTGCTCCACAATCAAGCTGCTGGGGAAAATCCAACAGTAACTATGCCAGAAGCTACATCCAGACCATTGGCTAGGAGGCAACAAATGATGCCTGCTGCCACAACCTCGAGAGCAGCCATTTTCAACCTATTTTTGGCCATGGCCATATAATATGGAAGAAATATAGGCCAAATCAGGATTGTGTAAGTTGCATAACAAACCTTATAAGGTGGTGTATGGAGAATTGTTTCTAGTCTGTGGCTCCATTTAAATGTGCCAGGGCCCCCCAGGGGCCATATGGCTCCCATTGAAAATGGCTGCTCTAGCGGTTCCCTCAGAAAGGAATTGCCAATGTACCCTTTGTCAGAGAAGGTGTTTCTCCAAACACAGGCTTGGAGGAAAAGAAGGCTGGCCATTCCAGTTATAGTTGCCAGTCCATTACAAATTAGAGGGGTTAGGAGATGTGTGTGTAGAGATCTCTATGGCTCAGGTGTCTGTGTCGTTGTCGTTTAGTCATTTAGTCGTGTCTGACTCTTCGTGACCCCATGGACCAGAGCACGCCAGGCCCTTCTATCTTCTCCTGCCTCCCGGAGTTGTGTCAAATTCATGTTGGTTGCTTCGCAGACACTGTCCAGCCATCTCAGCCTTGGTCGGCCCCTTCTCCTCTTGCCATCACACTTTCCCAACATCAGGGTCTTTTCCAGGGAGTCTTTTCTTCTCATTAGATGGCCAAAATACTGGAGCCTCAGCTTCAGGATCTGTCCTTCCAGTGAGCACTCAGGGTTGATTTCCTTTAGAATTGATAGGTTTGTTCTCCTTGCAGTCCAGGGGATTCTCAAGAGTCCTCCAGGTGTCTGTGTATGAATGTGTAAGTTTGTGAGTGTGTGCAAACCCAGAAGCTATCCTGTGTTACCTAGAAAGTCTGAGCTGAGAACAGATAGCATCATGGCGCGCCCTTGTCTTTTAAAATAAGGCCCAAAGGGTTCTTTTGAAGAACAATCTGATAGTCAGACTAATCATGAAGAATATGGCTTTAAAAGGTCAAATCATGTCACTCTGCTTTATAGCTTGCCTCTCTCCAAGCCAGCCTGGTAAATGGACAGGGGTGATGGGAGGTCTAGAGAGTGCTTCAGGAAAGCTGATAGTGCTTAATTGTATGTTTTGGCTCTGTTACAGCTGAGCTGCTATTCTTGTTTTGGTGCCTTCAGTGCTTTTGAGAGAGGATTGTAAAGACTTCCTAAACTACAGAGTCTACACATGTTTCATTCTCATTACATGATACAAGCATTCTGAAACTGGTGTGCCTGCACTGTTTACTTCACAAAAGGAATAAAATCACTTCTTTGTCCTGTCTCGAAATTCATGAAGAAGATCACTTTAATTGTGGCTTAAAAATTACAAGACAGCTAATAAGGTGGAATCTAAAACTCACTGCCTATGAAAAGCAGAAACAATCAAGAGCCTTGTGGCATTCTGTAAAGGAATAACCAGTTTCATTTGCTGCAAATTTTCATTTTTGGGCTGCAGTTTACATCTTCAGAGTCAGGTATAAGAGGACTAAACCAAGGGCGCAGTTTCTCTAGCAATACTAACTGGAGTTGAATTGGTTTTAAAGGTAAAGGTTCCCCTTGATATTTAGTCCAGTCGTGTCTGGCTCTTGGGCGCGGCGCTCATCCCCATCTCCAAGTTGTAGAGCCAGCGTTTGTCCATAGACAGTTTCCGTGGTCACGTGGCCAGCGCAACTAGACACAGAATGCCATTACCTTCCCACCAAGGTGTTACCTATTTATCTACTTGCACTTACATGCTTTCAAACTGCTAGGTTGGCAGGAACTGGGACAAGTGACGGGAGCTCACTCTGTCGCATGGCTTCGATATTATGACCACAGGTCTTCTGACCTTGCAGCACAGAGTCTTCTGTGGTTTAACCTGCAGCGCCACCACATCCACTGAATTGGTTTTAGACTTTCTTTTTTTGTTGAAGCTCTGCTGGTATTTGTGGATTTCAAGGGCTTCCCTATGTAGTCTAACATAATGATTGCTGGTGTTGTCCAGTACTTCTTTGTTTTGAAATAGGATTTCATGTCCAGCTTGTTTCAGTGTATGTTCAGTTACTGCTGATTTTTCCAGTTGTTTTAGTGTGCAGTATCTCTCATGTTCTTTGATTCTGGTGTGGATGCTGTGTTTTGTGGTCCCAATATATACCTGGCCACAACTGCAAGGTATCCGGTACATTCTTGCAGTGTTGAGGGGATCCCCTTTGTCCTTTGCTGACCATGACATTTTGTTGTATTTTTGTGGTGGGCCTGAATACTGTTTGTAAGTTGTGTTTTTTTTCCAAAAGTTTCCCCATGAAGTCCGTGACCCCTTTGATGTATAACAGAAATAATTTATTTGTGGGTGGCTGTTTTTCTTGTTCAGTTTGGTGTTGTTTTCTTGGTTTGATGGCTCTTCTGATTTTCGCCTGTAGGGCTCAATTCAGATGGTTGAGTTTGGTGCGGAGAAATTGAGCTTCACAGTTCTGATTCACATGGTCTACCAGTGCTTTGATTATGCCTCTTTTTCGTTGTGGGTTGGAATTTTTGTGTAGGTACTGTTACATACAGCACTGATGTTACCTGTCTGTCATGGGTTTGGAGGGAAAGTTCCATCCTATGGGGAGTGGAAGGCGGGACATCAGGAGGAGGGGCTGTACTGTATATATATGTGATGCGTGTGTGGAGAAGAGGAGACGCTGGGATGTGAAGAAGCAGCAGCTGGGAAGAAGAAGCTGGTGTGGGAGTCTGTGTGTCAGACAGGGTACTACTGTGTGTCAGAGTACCAACCTGATAGGTTCAGGTGTCTGTTGGTTAGCCAGAACTGATAGGTTCAGGGTCTGGGCTTCAAGTTAAGGGTTCTGTGTGAACCAAACTGTGTGTATGTATGAGTGAAACTAAGCCACGTTACTATATCTTATTCACCTGATCATTTTACTTTGCCTGTGTGTTGTTTTAAATAAACCTTATTCTTTTATTGGTTGAAAATCCATCCCTGGTCTGTGTGACTTCTTATAGGGAATGGTTGGTGGCAGCTTAGTTAACGTGTGGCAGATCCCAGTAGGTCTGGGTTTGTCACAGGTACCAGTCTGTGTAGATGGGTTTTCTGTAGACCTTGTGTCCCAATAGGAGGTCAGATTTGCGTATGACCATGACATCTAAGAAAGGGAGTTGGCCCTCTATTTCTTTTTCCATGGTGAATTGTATGTTTGGGTGGATGGTTTAGAAATTCTTTTGTGAAATATTCCATGGGGACCCCCGTCAGCCCAGTGATAGCAAATGTCTACATGGAACATTCCGAAAAACAGTCCCTGGCTTCGGCACTTTCTGCACCCACAGTCTGGTTCTGATACATGGATGACACCTTTGCAATTTGGAGCCGCGGTGAAGAAAAACCTCCAGAACATGGCCAAACAGTCCGAAAAAGCTACAACAACCATC